TGGATATCAAATTACTACTATATCCGTAAAGATTAAAAACAGCTTAATACACTAATCAAGTCTCTACAAATTTGCTCTTTTCCCACAACCCCCAATTCTTTATCTCCAATAGGTAGAAGAAAAATTCTTAAGTATAAAACGGAGAATGTAACGGTATTTTTAAAGGTTCGACCCTTATTCGAGTTGCTTCGATATTTCCTCGGCCGCGCGCGGAGCTCCTGTACAATGCCGAGGATTAGCTCTCGTTATGATCAATAGGCGATTCATCTTTACTATATCTTTCGAATTTCGGTTTTTCAGCATCGGGTTTTAGTACCGCCTAGAGTAAGTTCGAGATCTTCTACGCCAACTTCATGAATCATTTCACCTTCCCATGGCTTAACCGTTCCATTCTCAAATTCAAACTCTGAAACTCTCCCATTCATTCCCCAGTCTGATCTTTTCATATCAATAGCCATAGATGTTTGTTGAACAAGATTGAATGTTGGCGAAGTAGGAGCGGTAGATTGAAAATTAATCCACCTTCCTGAATCCTCCATCGAATCCTCCTCGGATTCATCACATTCCGGTATTGTAGGTGGTGTTTGGTGACCAGCACGACGCGTAGGACTAGATGGAGCCGAGATAGCGAAAAGCGGATGCCTTAAACCGTGTAAAGACCCGCCGTTCGGCAACTGTTCCGCACTAAGTTTCCGCTTCGAGCCACGAGAAGTAGGAGACGATAAAGGCGGAGTTACGGGGGCGCTGTTGGATATTCTAAGAGGCGGAAGGTTTGCAGGTATCGAAGAAGCAATGTTGTGTAGGAAAGGGAGTAGAAGATACGAAGAAGGGCTTCCTTCGTATCGAGTCGGACTCGGAAAAGAAGACGATACAGGACTTCCATGGTAAGATGGTGCAGGACTTGGAAATGCAGATGATTGTGGACTCGGTTGGATCGATGAATTCGTACTGAAGTTATTCGGAGTTGCTGAGATTTCTGGCTTAAACCCCTGTTTCACAATTCAATAACCAAACCCCAATTTCAGTTACCAAAATACGAGTCGAAATCGAAATAACGAAACATGATGATTCAATTGAAGAATCAAACGAGATTTTTCACCAAAATCTTCCAAATAATCAAACTAATTGTTCAATGGAATTTAGCTAAACCACAAAATCCATAACCAGATTTAATAACGACGCTCCAATTTCAAATCCGAAATTAGGGGAAAACTGAAG